GACAGTTCTAATGTAAACTGGTATAAGGATGAAATGTTTGTGCCCTTACCCATGACCTTTCTGGACAGCACCTGGTGTCATAATTTACAGAGTGTTTCCAGTCCAAAAATATTTCCAATTTGGTCACATTATGCTGTTGGACTCAGAAACATTCTGTGTGAGGCCAGGACACCCTTCTGTGTGGCATATCCTTGTTTCAGTTTAATTTCATATGCAGGGAGTAGTTAACAATTGAGCTCAGAGCAATAATCAGAAACTACTATATGTATTTTGATTTCAACAAGAGTTGGATAAACCAGAAGTGATATATGTCATGGAGCACAGGGGCCTTAACATTATTTCTATGCTGACAACTTTTTTATGAAAAAAAAGAAAAAACTTTTCAGTTTATATTCCTTTCCTTTGAATGTGAGACTATTTGGACATTTGTACATGAGGCAATCAAGTAATATAATATGCTAATAATACACCTTTCTTCCAAAGAAAATAATCCTTAAAAAGTATTTAACAATGTTGATTCTTTATTAATATATGAAAGAGCTGTTTGTATTTTAAACTGTTCTCTGAAGGGAAACTTTGTTAGTTCGTTACGAAATCTTTACATTCACTCACTGCTGATAATAAAATGAAAAGCTGTGTAGTGACTGAAATCTTGTTTACAAGTTTGGACAGTAGAGAAGGATACCGGCCTTTAATTCCAAGGCAGAAGGTAGGTTTTGTTTTAAATAAATTAAGGAATGTGTCATGTTGTGAATTAATGGATAAAACACTGCCTAACAGCCAACATCATTTTTGTAGGAATTGTATGTGATCTGTTTCTGTATTGGTACACAGCATTCAACTTGTAAATGACATAAAACTCAAATTGTTAGTTTCTGGTGAAGCTGATCTTGGTTAGCTCCACGTAGACCTACTTTGGCTGTAAGAAATTACTTGTTACCAATTGCATGACTCATGACCCATATGATGATGAAATTGTTTTAAAATATTATCAGGTTTCTTCTGTATCGTGTAACTGTCATCATTTTATAATATGAAGTTAACACCACGTTTTAATACTCTAATTATTTATTTTGTATATTCAAGGTGGCTGTGAAGAACAACTTTTTAAGTACCTCATTTTCAAGATGCATAAACATCACTGCAAATTATAAGAGCTTAGGTTATCATTATTAATCTTAAAATTAGTAATTTTCATACAAGTGAAATGTTACACAGTATGTATTGGTATCCCTGCATCACACACAGTGGTCTGCGGAATGAAGCTATACCAAGTTTTGCCACTGGAAGATTTTATCTTCTGTTTAATTTTTTAGATGCATCAATAGACCCTAATGTGATGGAGTCTTTCAGGAGATTGTTTGGCATAACTTTAGTTTTTCTGATGAGGCAGCTTCTGTCTATAGCACACTGGTGATGGGCAAAACTTGAGGTTTGCAAGTCAAATGAATGTGCCAAATAAATATTTGTAACTTGAAAGCGTGTGCCAAATCCTTGAATAACATTACCTGATGTGTGTGGCAGGACCTGCCTGAATCATCAGGTTGTAATGTCATAATGTGAAGCTCAGGAAACTGATTGTACCTGTCCCACTGCTGATCTCTGCAGTCAGGATCATGCAAATGTTGGCTGCTCTGAATCAGTTACTTCCTCTTGCATAAGTCTCATTGTGAAGAGGTGTGATATTGAGGTTATTTTCAACCATTACCATGGGACTGTTCATTCATTTATGAACCAACAGTACTATTAATTGTACCTGATGAAAGATGTTGATAAAGGCATTATATAGATGTATGGATTAAACCTGAACTAATTTTACTACCTTTTTGACATGCACTGTAATATCTGCTGAAATATGAGAAGCGTACAGGATGTATATGGTAAATATAGGTTATTGTTACTCCTACATATTCCTGTCACAATTATTTTTGAGTTACATTCTTCAGAAGTATATAAAATATTGCCTCTTCCATTAAAATCTTTGGGACTAGTGTAAGATAAATAGCTTGAAGCAGGAACCAACCTTTGTATAGATTTTTGCACACACCTAGCATGAAAGCAGATTGCATTGAAGTCATGAAATTAATATGAAGTATACTGAATGTTAATAAACCTCAAAAACCCTCCTGAAATATCCAACTATCTGAACATGAGAATGAGAACCCTTTTTAAAACCCAAACCAAGGCTACCACAGTGCATGTGAGCAAAGAGAAGATTTTTCTAGCCTTTAATGAACAGGGTCATAACTAACATATTTAAGTAAATAAATAAATAAAACATAAGTAGTTGTGTAAGAATGAAACTACGTATATGAGAGCATGGTTGTTCAAATCAGTATTGTTTTTTTTGTGTGTGTTTAACATTTTTTGAATGGGGAGGGTAGAGGACTAGCATTCTAAAGGTGCCAAATTTCTGTGTATTGGAACACATACACCTCTGTGTAATACGAAGTTGACTGGAACAAATGCTGTACTTTGTAATTTAAAACTAAGCAGAGATACTTTTGTTGCATTTGTTTCAGGTTGAAAATTTGTTAGATGACTTTGTATTAATGTTGACATGAGAAGAGCTAGTCATGTGTTTTATGCTCATGTCTCCATTAATCAGGGTTAGTGAAAGCAAATGAAAACATCATTGGGAGGGGAGAAGGATGGGGAATCTTTGTAAATATTATTATTCAGGGTGATGTTTTTATTATTGTCATCACTCAGTAAATCAAAAAGAATGAACCAAAGCAAATATTACTATGAATAAAATTCTATGTTGTTAGTGCTTCTTGCTTGCTGTTAGAGTGAAACATTGTTTACACATTTCAGCTTGGTGGGGGGAAATGTTTTAAAGTAATTCTTGGTACACCAGTAGTCTGGTACATGAAGAACTCTTGAACCTGAATGACTGAGTACCTCAACTTAAAATCAAGGAATTAACCGTTGTCTTTCAGTGTTTTGATGGTAGGTTAGGTGTATAAAAACTGTTGCAAAATTTCTAATCATTGTTGTGGGAATATTACAAAAAATAAAAACTGATTTATTTGGTAGGCAATTAAAATTAGTTCAACTCATAATTTACAAAAAGTGTAGAGCTTAAAGAAACTAAATTTTACACTCTTCAAGAAGCCTCCAAGCTGAAATGAGTAGGGAAGCATGTTTGTAGAATATTTTTTTGGAATGTAAAGAAGAACCAGAAATCAAAGGTGTTTTATTACTACTATTATTATAGTATTGAAAGTAAAGGGCAATAATATTGAAGTAAAAGAAATAAAAAAAAATACCAGGCATAAAAAGACAAGTTTAGAACTGCACATGTACTGCTGTCTTGTAAGCTGTTATTATTAACACACTGTGTACTGTTTGTTTTGTTTATTAAAGTGTGTATATTTAGGGAAAAGAAGTCCAACTCCTTTCTTGAAATAGGTCATGCCACAGTCCAGAGAATTTTTGACAAATGACCTTCCCTTCACAGGACTCCTACATGATGGCTGATGTGTAATCAGCAAGTGATTGATTTCCTGCCTGTGTAGAATTCAGTCACAGTTTTGACTTTCTGACAGATAAATGTCACATCATAATCCAAAGTCTGAATCCAGTAACTTCTCTCATACAACACGAACATATTTCATCAACATGCATAGGTGGTACTACAGAACGTGCCGAGTGTGCCTGGACACATCATAACGTTTAGGACACAAGAAACATTTAAAAAATAAATAATTCTTTCTCATCCTCTTTGTCAAGTGTGCCATGTATTGTATATTTCATTTTGGGCTTTTGTATGGTGCACATGATGCATTTTTGGAAGAGTTAAGGCACTATGTAATTTACCTACCATGCACATCAGCTTCAATAGTTCATGGTGTCTGCCACTGTTGACTGCCTAGCGTTTGACATGTCAAAGCCCACTGCTAACAATGAAAATACTTTCAGAAATTGAATTAAAATATAAACGATGTTCAGGACTGTGGAATTTGTTTATGCTTTGTTAGAGGCAGTTGATACAGCTAACCGACGATCTGAAACAAGGAAAGAAGATGAAGTTCCAGGAATTAAAACGAGAAGCTGAGAATAGGGAAAACTGGAGAGCTCTTTTTGGGCAGAGCAATGGACCTGTCGTAAGATAGAACACTGAATAATAATAATAATAATAAGAGGCAGTTTCCTTGAAGATATTGTGGCATTAACATGTACTTTGTGTGTACTGTCTTTGTAATAGGAGAGTGATGATTCTGAATCGTCTTCGACTACGTTGTGTGCTTTTATGAATATTAGAACTTGTTTGTTTAAATTCTGTTATCATAACTTTCTACATTTTTAAGTATTTTATTTTAATATTGCAGTTTAACTTTCAACCATAATGGACCATTTGTAAGAACTTGTGACAGAGTCAGACAGGAAAGGAGAAAAGAAAGTGATGCTGATAGAAGATCATAAACTTCAGCATTGTGTGACACCACAATTAATGATAGCTGGAAATAAAGCTGTGGAGACCATTACCAACAAACAACCAAGCACCCAAATTGCAGCAGCATACATGGAACTGCTCTCCAAGTCTATGATCCTTCAGACAGGTCTGAATGACGAAACAGACTTAAATCAACCTAAATTGCCATTATTTTCACACAAAAAAGATTTGTAAGCCATTTATAATTTGTTTGGTACAGCAAGTCACTTGATTTGGCGTTCCGTGGAGTTGTTTTATTTAACCTTTGTTAATTTGGAATATTTGTGTGCGCGTTCAAATCCCTGAATAAAGACTATGTAATTCTTTTCAATCTTGACACGCCGTATTAAAAACAAGTTCTGTGTGCTGCGACATTTTGTATTTCCTTGGCTTCGGCATGTGAAGGAGTGTATAAATAAATACTGTTCTATTCTCTTAGCAACGTCATAGTAGCTTAAAAGTCACAGTGATCAAGGTATGAAAGGGTACATGGATATTTAGATCAAGACGCATCACAGGCACAGATGTCTAAAACTATGGTAAGTAAGCAGCAGTTAATTTTTTATCTCAACACATGACTCGGAACACAGATAATACTTATCGTTTGTTCATTACTTCGTAATCGGAATCATAGTTTCATCAGTAGTGTGGGTGGTTGCATTGACGGAGTTGCATTAAATGGCAGATAACAAGGTCGTCGAAAGTTACAGGTAATAGATATTATGACTTATTATTTTTAGAAAGGTAATTTCTAAAACTTTTAAAGCATTTAGTTGCATGTCATTCTCAAGGTCCCCGTTTTTTGTTTGAAATCCTTGACAGTGCCGTACCTAACCCTACTCTACGAGGAATGATTTAGATGTTTTGGTAATTGTACTGCAGTCCGCTAAATAATTACTGTTCATCAGTGTAGAAGATTGGGGTATTGACCAAAGAGAGTATTGAAAAGTAAAATACTGTAGCGAATTAAATTTAGTTAAGACATTGTAAAATTAGGAATGTAGAGATTTTAAGTTGCATAGCATTAAGTATCTTGCTTTGGTATAGTTCAACTATTTACAAACAAGCAAGTGTGGTTTTAGTAGTGAAGATAAAGCATATAGTCTTTTCTTGTAGACATATTTTTGTATTGCTTTTGATTTAGTGCCAATTTGAATTGTGTTGGTCTTGGGTATATTTCTTTTGTTACATTATGTTATGTTTATGTGGGGATGTAATAAGTATAAATTAATAAATATGAAGTTTGGCAGTAGGTGGCATGTGGTTGATGATAAAGAGGATTGAATATGTAGCCACTGAACTGTAAAATTCCATCCTTTCAAATTCTCAGAATTGGGGGAATCATGTGAAAACTAATTTATTAATGTTCCTTATCAGTCTGTCTATTAAATTGTAGATCACACTTATTTTTTTTGCATAACAGCTGGTTTTGGGGTTGGTGGTCACCAACTTCTAGCACAATGCTTCGAGCAGCTGAGAAAAAGATCCTGTCATGTAAGTAACATTTTGTTAGAAAAAGAAGTTTAAAAGATCACATTAAAGATATGATTTGAAATTGTTTGCTAGAGAAGTGTACTGTTTTGGACAGGTGTTTTATTTTCTTGTTGAATTGAGTGTTGGCACCAGAAAGCTGTAAAAGAGTTAACAAATAGGAGACATTGAAGAATAAACAGCTGGTAATGAGATATTAGGTTAAAAAGCAGAAAGAACTTGAAGTATTGAATAATTATAACCTGACAATTTACAAAATTTAAAACTGGGTTTTTTAAGACAGTACTGTGGAACATGTACAAATAACAGAGTAAAATCTCAATCATACCAAGAGCTTATAACATGCAGATATTCTGTCAAAAATCCTGCTCAGGATATCCTGAATAGGAAATGTATCAGACAAATGTTTACCTACATGAATTTTGCTAGATGTTTTACTTAATCACATTTTAATTAGCCTGACTAGCTTCTTAGGTGCACCAAATTCAGGTAAAATATTGTAAAGAACTTCTCTTTCAACTCAGCTGTAGGCTTTCTTGAAGTCTATGAATAGTTGTTGGACTGTTCCATTGTAATCCCACTTTTTATCTAGTATCTGGCTAATGTAGAAAATTTGATCAGTTGTAGATCTATTACGATGGAACCGGCACTGATGATCCCCAATAATTTAATTGGCGTATGGAGTCAGCAAATTGTTGGATAAAATTTTGTAGGCAGGTAATAAGAGGGGAATTCCTTGACAATTGTTTTGATCTGTCTTATCACCCTTCTTATGAATTGGTATGATAATAGACTCCTTCCACTACTGTGGCATTTTCTCCTTATACCATATAGAGCAAATCATTTCATGTATCTCTTAACACAACGGTTCGCCTCCTGCTTTGATCAGCTCGGCCGGAATGTGATCAGTACCCAGGTATTTGTACTTTTTCAACTTCTGAATTGCAGTCTCCACTTTGATAAGGCTAAGTTTTCATAGAGGAACATTTTGGATTCAAAGAAGGTCTGTCAAATGATAAAGCTTCATACAAATTCTTAGATGAAATCTTATGTGCTCTTAATGATAAGTTTCGTGTTAGTAGAATATTTTGTGACCTTATTAAAGCATTTGATTGTGTGAATCATAACATATGCCAAAACTATTTTTTTATAGAATTAAAAGTAAAGCAGGGTAATGGAGTCAATCATTTCGTAATGGCAGAAAACAAAGAATAGAAATTAAATTTCCTAGTTTGAATTATAACTCAAATTTAAACTGGTGCATTGTAAAACATGGAATTCTACAAGGTCAAATACTTGGCCCAGTTCTTTTCCTCTTACATATCAGTGATCCATCCCAAATAATCAATTCTCAGTGCAAGTCTATACTATTCACTGTTGGTACTACTGTTATTATTTATCACACTGATAGTGATTACTTTCAGAATTCCATTAATGTCTTTGCACACCTCAACAGCTGATTAAAAATCCATTAAATTCAGCTTGAATTTTGACAAAACAAACTTCATGAAATTTGCTACCAACAGCAAAAGAAGTATCAGTCTTCATAGTTTATGATAATAAAACAATTGAAATACTATTAACAACTAAATTACTTGGTTTACAAGTTTATAATAATTTAAAGTGGATAAGCACATTGAAGCTTTCACAGCGAGTAAGTATAATGAATTCTTCTCGTCCTCGTTTCCCGAGAACTTTTTTGTTGGTTACACGGTCAGTCCAGGAAATTCTGAGAATACGTCGGTACAGCCACATTTCGAAGGCCTCCAACTTTTTTGAAGAAGCTTCGGTCAACGTCCACGATTCAGCGCTGTATTTCATCTATATATGGGTCAACGTCCACGATTCAGCGCCATATTTCATCTATATATATATCAGTGAATTGTTTGGCACAGGATAATACAGAAAAAGAAAGCTTAATCAGTTCTGAAACCTTGCAGTAGACATTCTTATACAATCTTATAGATAGATGACTATCCCTTTGTATTAATCATATTACCATTCCTTCTGTTTAGAATAAATATATTCAAGGGTTTTAATACATGAACCAGTGCATTTAATGTACTGCAGCTGTTAGTCTAAAAATATGAAGACATTTCATTCACAGATATAATAAATATTAAAACTCTCTTACCGATTTGGATTTCTCTGTACCTTGTAGTGGACTGGCCTGGAGCGAGTAGTCAGTTATTTAATACTTTATACTGGATGATGTTTTATATTTCATAGTGTGGTATGCATGTTTCTGTGTTTTAGATTTGAAGACTTCTTATCGAGGGTGGTATGTAGACATCGGACCTGTAGTGAGTCCTGCTGACAAGATATGGACAATCTGTCTCAACCAGGAGTCTAACAAAACACCCATATTACTCCTCCATGGCTTGGCTTCAGGTGTTGCATTATGGTGTCTTAATCTTGATTCACTGGCTGCCACAAGACCTGTCTATGCTATAGATATCCTTGGTGAGTGGCACACATTTCCCTAGTTTCACTAATCTTCATATATTATTAAGACCATAGATGTAAAGCGTATTTTAATAGATTTCAAAGAGATAGCAATGGATTTTATAACAAAGTTGTTTCTATAATGTGTATATTTGATGTTTAAGAAATTCTGTTTTTTATTGAAGCAAAAGTTTCATCAGTCACCACAAAATTAAATAGCTTGCAACCTTACCTACTCTAATTTTGGTTAACTTTGGTAACATACTTTAACCCATTTCAAATAAACATGTGGAAACTTTCATAATTCTGTTTCATTTGTTTTAGGAAATACTGTCATTTCAAACCCATAAAGAATTCAGTAATTTGCCTTATGAATGATCACGAATTTGATTCTAACTCTGTTTCTACTTTGACATACAGAGTTGATATTGTGCTTTTATTAAAGCACTAGCAGTGTACTTTAGAATGGTGTATGATAGATCTTCATTACCACACTAAACAATTCAAGGTCATTGAATGTAATATCTGACCTTGAAGTTTTCAATAAAGTACAGTTAAAATTCTGAAAAAATTAAATGTTATACATGAGATACACTGAAAGTTGGATGGTGTAGCTCTAAAAACGTTTCAGGGAATTAAATATTTTGTTGATTGATTATGAGCCTAGTGCCGATCAGCAGATGCCAATGAACTAAGAAACGTTGAGCAAGAAGATGCTAGCGCTTCTAATGCTACTATTAAAATACTAAACAGAGGCTGTAGGGGAATCACCAATTAAGAAGAAATGGTTGCAGGAAAAGACATTCCCTAAGAAAAAGATTTAGAAAATCACAAGTAAAGAAAATAAGTTATACATGTCCACAACTGGAAGTGAAGAAGATGCATCTTCTAGTATTGATTCAGAAATCACAGCACAGTTGAAAGATGGATTTAAAAGTAGTACCAAGAGAAGTGAGCAGGCACAAATGTTGATGGTTTTACCAAAGTGGTATAAGAAAATTATAAAAAGAGTTGGTAGCATCAAATTGCATGGTTAAAAAGGACAAAGAACGTGTAAAAGCTAATAGAATATTATCCATCCAAATCCTGAACTTGGCAAAATTCTAAAAGATATTACCAAAGATTATTTGTTAATTTTATGATGATGAAATTAGCAGCTGTGCCCCGGGTAAGATAGATTTTGCATCTGTAAAAGAACGTGAGAAATATACTTCAGAAACAAAAATAGTTAGTTCTGTGCAATGTGAATGACACGTAGTCATTATTTAAGGAGTGATATCCAATACAAAAGCTGGATTTTCCAAATTCTGTGAAATAATGCCAAGGAATATAGTTAACATCTGTAGCATGTGCTACTCATTTCATATGTGTATGTAGCACACATCATCTTCTATGGCTCTCTGGTCCGTATTCGGTCCATGGCCTCCTCAATTCTCCTCTTCCATTCGGTCCTCTGTTAGTTCCGTCTGTCCGAGGTTTTGATCGAGGTTTCGAAACATCTTCCTTTTTACGGTGCAAGGCTGTTAGCCTTGTGACCAACCCCCAACCTGGAGGACCAGGGTACCTGTCTTAGTCTGACCTCTCCCCCTCGACCAATCTGGCTAGGGAGGCCCTACCAGTAGCTCTTGGGGTCACTGAGGTACTCGAGCCCCACCACCACGACAAGGTGCAGGTACCATTAAGTTGGGATATAGCACACATCAAAATGTAAAATTAATGCTAATAGGAAGCAACCTGAAAGAACTTGCAAGGTAATGAGATAACTTCCTACAAAGACTGTCATGTATCATATGTAATCCTTCGTTACTGTAATGTCCCTTAGAATACTATGAATACTGTCCTTGTGAGTAAAATTTAAAAAAAGATGTTTTCAGATTTGTTTGAATTAAATGGACTTGATGAAGTGACAAACAAGCAATGGATAACATTAGATCAGCTTTAGAAATTATTACTTATTCAGCAGAAGAATTTTTGGATATTTGCTTTGAAAAATTGCAGGTTCTGTTATGTCATCCATTCAATCGTTCAGAACGATACAATGACCAGCCTCCCAAAATGAACTCAAGTTAGCCCTCAACACAAATGAGTTTAATGTTGCATGTGACTTTTACACTGGAATAATCCTTAAGCCACAATTCTCTTTTGTGATTTATTTCAAGAATGCAGACACTTTCGTCCACACAAGTTACGTGATGGTTTAAGACTGTTTGTCTGTCTGTCGTGCTGTAATAGCTGTACATGTTTATCAGTGACACCAGTTTATGATGAGAAAGTTTTAAATCTTCACAAACAACATCTGTTTCT